AGTACTCACTCAAATTCCTATTACTTCCCTCTTTTGCCTGTATTCTCAGGAGCGATAGTTTAATCTGTTTATTAATGTTCAATACTACTACACAGGAATAAAGCAAACTTGATAATTAATTAACTGTTTCAGAGTAATAAAACAGGATTAATTTACAAGAACAAAAACTTGAACTTAACACTAGGTCGCAAGAAGAAAAAGAAGTTTAATTGTTTGAAAACACATGTTGAAACAGTTAACAATAATTTAAAATGTGGGGCTGAGCCGATTCATGTTGCCGCGCTTATTGGCCGGAGCTGACGTCTCCATTCGGCTGGCCTCCAAAAGTGTCGCTACGGGTCATGCCATGCCGGGGTAGATCCAAAAAGCAAGGGGTCCTCTCACGCGTAGTCGCAACATTTACGTCGGGAAGAAGAAATCGTTTTGTTTTTTCAGGAAGTCTAAGATTCATAATAATTTTCTGTTTAAGTGACATCAGGTAAATTTTTTAAACTTCTTACAAAAATTCAGGTTTTTTTTTCAAAAATACTTTTTATTTCATATTGTAATGAGTAATTAGTTACAATTTGTCATGTGCTAGATTGGGAAGGTTCACCTAGGTTTTTCTATTTTTAGGACTATTGCAAAGAAGAAAGAAAGTGTATCAAAAGTTTTTCAATTTTTCTGTAAGCAGGTGACTTTCTACTAACTTTGCTTAATTTTTTCTCGTCAGTTAATAAATTGGAAAATCTGCACATATAATAGAATTGACCATTTATGTGTAAAGATGTTGAAGAATTGTAGAAGAAAAGCAGCTTTCCATGAGATTAACAACATAAAACTGCTTCCATAAAATAATGGAGGATGAACAGACCCATCAAGATGTAGGAATTCGATTAGTTTAATTTCCAAATGGGCAATTTTAAGATAACTCAAAATGTAAAAATTTCCTGAGAAAAACCCTGCCGCAGACAGTATTCCTGTAGCTAAGGTTTACCGTTCTCGTCTGAAAATTTACGTCATCTGCGCAGTGAGCTAACTAAGATTGTGTTAAAATACAAATGGCAAACTTACCTTTCTCAAACATCTCAAAATCATGTGCTCAGTCACAACCATTGACGCATTTCTTTTCTTAGCGGTGCATATAAACAGCAGGTTTACCAGTCCAATAGAAGCATGGAGAAAGTCTGAGTTGATTACAAGACACCATCACATTGAGACAATCTAAAGAATAGTAGCACACGTTAATAATTTTTTTAGTAACTTCCACTGCCACAACCAAGACGATTATTAGAATGTAAGTTTTGAACTACCATTGAACTACCATTGTTTGATGCTTCGTAATACGTCACGTTAATAAATACTGCTAGTAAAATCGGAAATAAATCAGAAATCCACAGCAGATGTTATTGTCGTTTAAAACTGTTGTTATCACCAACCTAAATATGTTAACGGAAATGGTGAGGTATTGCTGAACAGCTTTCCTTCAGAGAATATCAGTAAAATGTTGTAACTTTAATTAACTAGTTCAAATAAATAGCTGAAATTCGGTTCTGAAGACCACTGCATAAAATAAAACCAAATGATATTCCGGAAGCGACGAATCAAAGTTGTAGCACATTATAAAGGGAATTAATTTTGAGACCTGTTTCTTAACTGTGCAGTGATTTCTCAACTTTTATCATATTTCGGAATAATGCTAGCTTATTCTAATTCTTCCTAGTTTTTGCAACTTTAAAGCTTTTTCCTCATCTATGTTGTCTGTATTGGAAAATAATGTTCCTAAAAATTTTTGTTTCTTGAAGTTAACTACAACTTTTACTGAACGGAACCGATGAAGAAAATTTAGTACCACTGTAGCAGATTTTTCTCTCGACTGCAGTATTTCGATTCGGAGTAAATTTTCATTCTGGTATTTATCAAGCTTGATACTTTACTGTAATATTTCTTTACTAAGTCTATATTTTGCTCAAACTTACTGCTACTCATTTCGAAATAAGATTTGAAGTATCTTTTATCTTCACATTATTAGGTTTCGCACATCACAGCCGACCAAACTGTCTAGACTATTTTTCTCTTTCTACTTTTTCTTTAATAGTTTAATTTTTTGCTCCTAACGATATTCCTAATATGTTTTATCTTTTTGACCTTCAACAGTCACCAACGTTCTCTCTGTTGTCGCTGTTGCTGTATTCTTGTAAATGACACAAATGAAAAAAACAGAAGCAAGGTCTCGACTTAAATCGTACTGAACGTTCATATTTTGATTTGTAATTTTTATCAGAAGTGTTTATATTTATAAACAGTGAATTCGATGAAAAAAGAGTGAAAAAGTTGGTTTTTTTGTCTGAGCAGAATTCAGCACAATTCTACGCTAATCTGTTTTATTTCGCTCCTTTCTGAAAGCCGTTCAGCAGTTATCAGTGTTTTAAATTAGAACAGTTCTTCTGTCGTCAAAAATCGTCAAACTTTAATGCGATTATATTTCTTTATTTGTTTTCGTAACAATTTATTTTTTAAGCCATATTCCGTAATGAGACTAAGGTTTTACAACATATTACAGACAATTTTTATTCTTTTTCAGACTATATACATCTTTTTCTTTTTTTTTGCTTTAGTAAAATAGATCGGCAAATAATAAGGTTTTTATTTGAATAGACTGTACTTTGTATATGCAAATTGTCACTGAAGAAGTTTTTTTGCTTTTTTTTCGACTTTTTGGACATTCTTTACCGAAAATGAATACGAAATATTCAGAATTCAAAATTTTTGTTTTGTGGACAATTTATGATTTTAGCGCAGCTTGCGAACAGCAAAAACAAAAATAACCAGCTAAAAGATTTATTTTTTCTCTGCTTTTGTTGAATCACTTCACTAAATAAACGCAGTGAGATACCTAAAAAAAAAAATCAAAAATCTTGTAATAAAAAATAAAAAACAAATGAGAAAAAAGAGAATTATGAGAGTTTAAAGCAGTAATCTTGAAGATGCATGATTTTTTTTGAAAAAAAAAATGATTTTTAGTTTTTTCGCTTTCAACTTTAAGCCTTTTTGGTTAAAATGCCTAATTTGCTGTGTTTTGCTTCTTGTCAAAAATTAAAACGTAAGGTCTAAAGTACAGTTTTTCTTGAAACTGCTTTTTTTACTCGTTTGATTTTAAAAGTGCACGTAAAAGACGTTGTAAGCAAGCTAGTTTGTAGAAATGTAGAAAAACATGAAAGGTGAGTGTATTTATTAATTTGAGCTTCTGTATGCAGGTGACGAGAAATAGACATTGCATGGTTCAGGGTACAGGTGTTCCTCACATTATAGGAACTGAATCTGCTTGGCCATTTCTGATTTCATACCGCGAGTGTCATTCCTGTGAGTGTAATAAACAAAAAAGGCGTTAGAGTGAGTACTTTAGCTGACAATTCTTTTCTAATCTTTTTTCGTACTTTTTTAAAACTACAACTTTCTTCTGGGTGCTTCGAAGTTTTATACTGCCTGTTTTTTGTTTTCGTTTATATTATTTTGCCGACTTTCTGAAGTTGACAGCTTCAGCAGCGGTATTGCTGTTGTTATTTTCCGTATTTTCTTTTATGTCTTATAGCACCATTCTTCATTGGAATAGGAAGACAGTGTTGCTCAAAAGTCGCTGTAGAATTAATAGCAGCTTTGTGGCAGAAGTATAAACGGACAGGTGAACCGAAGGCAACAATAAACCCTTTAGACGAAAGACCAACTCAGTCAGTAAAAAAAAAAAGATCCTCCTTCTATAGCCGAGTCAAGCCGGTGTTTTTGGAGGCTCTCGGCATATGATCTTTACGTAGGATAATTGACCTAACACCTACCGCAACGTACAATATTTGCTCTAATCACACAATAATTTCATCTCTCTTTTTCAGTTTAAAAAAAATTAAAACAATTTTACTTTACTTTTAAGCAACATAGCAGCATCGTCAGAGAACCTGTTTTGCCACAATAAA